CTGAATTCAAACTGAAGCTTTGGCCTTACAAAGCAAACATTTCCCAACTTCATGTTTTTCAGAATTTTCATGGAAAATTTTGAAAACATTAATTTTAAATTAATTAATTTTAATTTTTAAGTTAATTAATTTTAAATTTGAGCTATGAAAATGAAAAAAAAAAAAAGGGGAACATTATGTGAACTCAGACTTCTACGACTCTGCCCACATCAGACATCATCAGCCACTTCTGGCATCTCTCCGGACACTTCTACTGCCAAATCCCTTCCACAACTTCAGTGCAGGGAGTAGATACCACTAACAGACTGTTGCTCAGAAGTTTCTCTGCTACTCTACTCCTCACCTAAGTGCATGACCCGTTCTTCTTGTTTTGCAAAGACTCAGAGAATAATTCAGGTTGGAAGGGGCCTCTGGAGAGCTCCAGCCCAGCTCCCTGATCAAAGCAGGGCCAACTTCAATGTCAGAAGTGGTTGCTCAGGGCCTTGCCCTGACGAGTTTTGGAAATCTCCAAGGATCTTCCAGAGTTTGACCTCTCTCATCATGAAGAATTTTTTCCTTATGTTCAATCTGAACTTCTGCAGTTGCAACTTTCAGCAGTTGCATCTTGTCCTTTAACTGAATTCTCCTGGGAAGAGCTGATGCTGTCTTCCTTGTAACTGCCCTTCCAGTATTGATAAAAGATTTCCCCTCAAGACATTATCTTCTCCAGGCTGAACAAGCCTAGTTCCCTCCATCTCTTTCTCAGATATCATATGCTCCAGGCCCCTGACCATCTTGGTGGCCTCTGCTGGACTCACTCCAGTTTGTCAGTCTCTCTTTTGCCCACAGCAAAAGAGGGAGGCCCACAGCTGGACACAGCATCCAGATGTGGTGTCAGAGGTACCAAATAGAGGGAAGTAACAGCATCTCTTGACTTCCTAACTAAGCTTTTACAAATATGGCTTAGTATGCACCTGGATTTCATTGTCACTAGGGCATGATGTTGATTCAGGGGCAACTTGTTGTCCACCCAGACCCTCAGGTCCTCTTCTGCAAAGCTACTTTCCAGTCATCTTGTCCCCAGGCTGGAGTGTTGCACGAGCTTGTTCTGCCCAAGGTGCAGGTCTTCGCTGAACATCGTGAAGTTTCTGTCGGACCATAGCTCTGATGTGGAAGGCACCTCTGAATAGCAGCTCTGCCCCCAACTTATCAACCACTGCTCCATTTGGTGTCATCCACAGACATGGTAAAATCTCCGTCCCATCAGCTTAAATACAGAAGTGTAGCTTAAAGTGGTGTGCAGCCTTCCTTTCCTTTATTTCTGCCCTGTAATGCTGCACTGTCTGCTTCTGCTTCTGATTTAATGCTGACCATTCCCTCCCCATTCGTCTTCCAAATTCCTGGTTTAGCTGTGCTTATTCCCCTTCTGTTCTCCCCACCCCACGCCTCCTGCCCAGTTGCCTGTCCCAAACCACCTTCTCCTTGGTGGGTTTCCTGCCTGAAAACAGGTTTCTCTCCTTCTCTGGTCTTGTCTCTGGGACCCTGGGCTCCCCTCTCCACTCAATTTTCTGGGAAAGTCAGAAACAGTAGAGCGGAATCTCTTCTGTTTTCACCTTCCAGAATGTTTCTTCATAAAGAATACAGCTTATGAACTGGAAAATGTCTGTCTTTGATGCAATGACTGCTAGAAATGGACAGGAGGAGGAAATCTGTGGAACTAACTTGGCTCTGCAACGTGACAGAACAGCCATGATCAATAGCTTGGGAGAAAAGTGACTCTCCCAGTGTTGCAGGACTGTTCCCTTATATTTGCCAAAATTTTGTTTAGTATCATGTTGCATCAGCCTCCAAATGTCTTTGCTTGCGAAAGAATGTTGCACAGCCCGACGGGCCCTCCTCGGAAAGTTCTTCTGTGCTTATTCAGTCTCTTTTCCCTCCCGTTTTGGTTTCACCCTGTTTCCCTGGTTACTATATACTTCTGTTTGTCACCCCTCGTGAGCTGATGTCCTCCTCTGTTCACATGCATCACATCTGCAGACAGCTAGCGTGTTGCCTAGCCAAGGTATCTGTGTCTCCCCCTGCTCCGCACAGCTCAGGTCTGAATGCCTCTTTGCAAAGCTTTTCCCACGCCTCTCCTTTGGATGCTCTTCACTTTCCAGTTACACTTCTTGGTTACCCATCATGAAGAGCTGAATTGTACTAAAACCCTCTTCTCTACTCCATTTCCCTTCCATCTTTCACTTCTTCTATCATCCCTCATTTCTGCTCCTCTATTATCTGTCTCCTAAGCCCTCTTCTCACTTTCCCACTACAAGAGATGGGCTGAAGCTTCACGGATCTCCTCTAACCTCTTGGGTTGGGGAGAGGTGGGTAGGTACCTATTACTGCCTGCTCCTCTGGAGTATTTTCAGCTCTCCACTTCTTGGAGGGAATTACACCAACACTTTGTTTTCTCCTTTTCCCATCGCTCACCCTGAGCTCTCTGATGGCTCTCAACTCCTCTCATCCCCCTTTCCTCTTGTTTCTTGGCAAAAATCTATTTGGATCCTCACCAATCCATAACCCATGAGACCAAAATCTGCTCTGGCTGGATAGCTGCAGCATTGTCAGAAAGCTGCAGACCCTAGACTTAATTTTTGTTCTTTCCTTATGGATAATTTCCCTCTTTCACTCAAATTAAGCCACAACAACAGGTGAATGATTGCTCTGTGAGTGAGGAGATATTTAATGTGGTCTTTCTGAGAGCAGAGTACAGGGCAGAGGAGGTGTTGGTGGGTAGCTTTGCTGTATTTCAGCTCTTCAGATTCTCAACACAGCTCTGACAGAGCAGGCAACTGTCATTAGAAAGCAGTAAGTGAAAGAATTATATATACAGCTGGACAATCTCAGTTTTTGCTGGGGCTTGTGTAAGACATACTAGAGAACCTTGGTTTTGAGAGGAGATGGATCCGGTTTTCGGGAAAATTAGACATGTTTCAGGATTGGCGAGATGCATGCTGCAAATTTAGGCATCTGAAAGAAGCTTTTGAAAAAAACTTGATCAAATTGCTTCACGTGGACAGGCATGAAATAGGAATCCACAGGCACCAGCACCACAGGCTGGTTGTTATTATAGATCATTTAGTACAGGCTGTTCTAATTTAGGTTAAACAAAGCTAATCCTGAAGTGATGTATTTCTTATACTAGCCTGCGTGTGTCTGTGCCTTTGCACATGTGTGCACAAACAGAATAGGCAATTGTTTATGGAAAATAATAGATATGGCCAGAGGATACTTTGCCATGCAAGGTAAAGACATGTTTTACTCTCACGTGGAGATACAGGGGATTCAGATTGCGGTTTTGGTTTGTTTCTTCCCAGACAAGTAAAAGGGTACTGAACGGCATGGGGAATAGATAGGAACAGGAAAGCAAATGCTCTGGGCTCCCGAAATATTAGAAGGTACTTACTGGGTTTGATACTAATCCACCGTGGCTAGTTCAGGGCTGAGCAGGGTCCCTGCAGGGAGGTCTGTAACCAGAGGCTCTGGTACTCTGCTAGGGTATTGTTTTGTCTTGGCTTTGCAGGAAAAGCCAACACCTTTGGAAACTGAGATGACTTTCCGTGGATTACCAACATGAGTCATGACTTGCTGAACTTTTAGGGACTCTCTCTGGGAGTGTTTCTAGTTGCTTCCAGTACTTATATCTACCTGACCCTACTGCAGAGGATTGTTTTTGGGAACAAACCACAGCAAACAGTGGTAGGAAATATTTGAAGGAGATCTATGGTCCTACCCCATGCAAACATCAGCAGAGAGGGAGCCACTTGTTGCATACACAGATTAAAAAAAAAAGTTTGCATTGGCTGCATAAAACCCTATGTATCCCAGACTCCCAGAAGGATATTCCTTGGATAAGCAACAGGAGCTCTCTTTGCACTAACAGAGGCTGTTGCAAGGACTTTATGAAAAAGCAGTGAATGAGGGCGTAAATTTTGGTTGCAAAATCACAGCCAAAACAGCCCGTATCGTGCCAACCTATTAGGACAATGGAGCTAACTGGCAGAAAGATGTGTAATGTGTGAGTAATGGCTACGTTTGATGCAGGATCAGGTACTTCAGTGTTTGGGCTTCTTGCAGGCACAGAAGCAGACAGGGGAGACAAGAATTGGGGTTGCCATCTGTGTACCCCTATTTTGAGGAATAATATCACAGAGAGCTCCCATTTTTGGAGCTCCCTGTTTGCCCTCTCTTTGCTCTTTTATTAATATTTTCTTTCCCTCACGCTCCTCATCCCATCCAGAATAACAGAATTGGCCAGGGTGGGCTCATGTCACTTCTCGGTTGCTTATGTTGCTAACAGAGAAATTCAAATGAGCCATGCTGCACTTTACTCCTGAGGCTTATTCCTCGAGAAAGCTGTTTCTGCTCCCAGGGAAGTCAATGGAAGTCTAATTAGTCCCAGATGTTTAGTAATAACAAGCACTTCCTTTTAGTAGAGCCAAACAAAAGCAGTGTTAAAACCGTTAATTAAATGGGTTTGGCTCTGTCATCAGATTATTAACTAATTCCAGTCATGGCAGCCAAGCTAATACTGGCTCTTAGAAGGAGGTGTAGTCTTGCCATGCTTGACACAAAAGGCACGAACTCAGTGTATGGATAAATTAGCCCACGTCTGGGCGCACAGCTCAGCTTGCTTTCACACCAAAGGAAAAGCTCACCGACGTCAGCATCGGGCTTCCAACTAATCCCTGGGTTTGCTGCTTGTGCAAACTTTCTCCTACAAGAACAAGAGCTTGAGCCAATGGGTAGCATTGACTTTCGTAGATGTTAGATCAGGCCCTATTGCTGCTGACAGTTTGTGCAAATTCTTACCTACGTCTTCAGTAGAGCTCCTTGTTCTCCATTGGTTGTACTCTAAGATATGGAGCAGCTGTCCCTGCTTCAGGACCAGAAGGTAAAGGTCTAAGGTGGAGTCTGAACACCATAGAAAAATAGGAAGACATAGCTTTTTATCTGTGGAGCATTCCAAGCTGGTGCTTTAATATATTCACAACCCTGTGCTTTTTACAAAATTCAAAGGTGTTTTTATTGTACAAAATTTCACAATGAAAACTACCAGCCAGTTTCTTACATAACTGCTTTAAAAATAGAATTGTACACCTTTTTGTAGTGTGTTATTTTTGACATTCACTAGCTGGAAGAAACAGAAATGGAGCAGCAATTTGACTCTGAGTTATTTACCTGGACAGGTTTTGGTTTGACTTCGATTTCTCTTATGTGCCTTAATGTACAGTTCCTGGCATTAACAGGAAACCTGATATAGCTCCTTTTGAAGCCATTGAACCCCGTTAGTAGGTCAGACTCCCACTGTTGGTGAGCTCCTTTTCACTTCAAAAGGGTGAATCCACTGTCAGAGTACGGGGCATAACATATGTCAGTGTCAGCTTTTAGCAACGCAACAGGATGGCCACGTTAAACCCAGCACAGAATGAGGATCTACATAACTTTTCTTGCAGCCAGTCCTCTAGACCATAATCTCTTTCCAGGGAGAGACAGTGGACCTCTGATCTGAATAACAGCCCAGGACTAGGTTCCCTGTGTATTGTTTCACACCGGTATCTTTAAAACACCTTTTTGCTGTCTAACCTCCTGTGACCTTTAAAAATAGACATATTATTTTTTTGCATTGAAATGCAACTGTATGCAGTGAGTTCCCAACAGTTTTCCTTAGAAATATAAACATTTCAGTCCAATGGTAGCTGGTTGAAATTCATTCTCCAAGATTTTTCTTTTAGAAAGCATTCACCCCAGAGATGAATTTCTTCACATTAAACCCAGTTAAATATGTATTGCACGCGAGGGGCAAATTTCTCCTCTTTGAGTTGAACTGTGGACCTGTGACCTTCTGAGCAGATCTGGGTAACATATAGTGCAGCTGTTTCACACCTGAGGTTTCTCTTACGTCCCTCGTGGGTATTAAGTGCCAAGACTAATTAACCTCATCCACCTCTTGTGCCTTGCTCCAGTGGCTGGAGCAACATACTGCAAGCAAAGAGGTATCCAAAGAGGTTCCTACCACCGAGGTCTTTGGCTCCCATGGATAGCTGTGGATTTTCTAAATGGCAGCCATGAGCACAACAGACATGAACTGTGATTTCCTTTTTTAGCTAAATTCTCGTTGTTTTGGAACTCATGGGAGATTTGCAACCAACTTCAAGGGCTGAAAGATTGCTTATTGGCCCACCCTGGTGTTGGCTTGTATGATTTAAGCTTAAGAAGGGTTAGGAGCTGTTATTTCTAACCAGTTAGGAAAAAGCAAAGCTCATAGCTCAAAGCAAAATATCTCATGGAGGCACATAACTTTGAGAAGGTCTTTCCTACTCAGATGATGTCATCAATGACTGTCATAAAAAGGTGATTCAGTTATAATGCTCAATCTGCAAAAAGTCTTCCTGTGAAGGTGACATCACAAAGTATCTCTGAGCTTAGTGAAAAGTCTCAAGACCTTAGAGGGCTTTTTCTTTTGGTCTGGTTTAAATTACACAACCCTCAAAACAACAGCAGGGCTTTACACTGTATAAACTTTTTAAGCAGATCTGCTTGTGAATGAAACAAGTGCAAAACACAGCAAATTCTCCTTTCAGTCCCTGCAACCCAGAGCGCTATAGTGGTGCAGTTCAGGGGCGCTTTGAAACTGTCTTAAAATCCACAGTTAAAAATCAAAGATGAGAATTTTACCCTTCATTTCTACACACCGGCAGTGTAGCACCTGATTTCTTCAGTTTTCAAGGCATTTTGTGTTCCTATGCTTTAAACTGATGGCTAAAGTTTTGCCTGCGGAAGCAAAAAAATGAACCCACGCCAATGATGATCACGGATAAAACCAACACAAATGTTAATATAATAAGGAAGTTGATTTTCTTTAGATCCTCTTTTTCACAGTCTTCTGGTCTAATGTTCCCGATGTGCATTTCTTCCTGGTACCCAAAGTTCTGAGTGTACTGGCACGTTAAGTGCTCCACGTTAGGGATCTGGACATTTTGGTTCTGGATCATTGATGAGAGCCAGATGTTTCCACAGCAGTTGAGTGGGTTCCCAGTGAGATACAAGTTTTTAAGGGAATTTTCTAATGCTAAAATATTGCTGCTCTGTAATGTACTAAACCTATTGTTCCGCAGGTCCAGAACTTCCAGTGGAGAGTCACTACCCCACTTAGGCAGCCAGTTCAGCTGATTTTCAGAGAGGTTTAAATGTTTAAGGTGACTAAAACAAGGCAAGTCAATATTTAAATCTATCAGGCTATTGCCATGTAAATACAAATATTCCAGAGACTTTTCCAGTCCTGATAATGCTTTAACTTCTATTTTTAGTCCGGGGTTTATGGAGAGATCCAAGACAATCAGAGAAGTCTTGTAGAAAGTGTACGCCGGTAGGATGTTCAGCATGTTGTCGGCAAGGTACAAGTACCGAAGAGTAGGAGAATCAACAAATGATACACAGCCACTTTCCTCTCCAGCAAGTCTTTGCTTAGCTAATCCTGAGTACATGCTGCAAAGGCTGATATTATTGCTCTGTAGATTAAGCAGTCTGAGTGTAGGAAGACTTGAGAAGATATCAAATTGCAGGGTCTGAAGGTGGTTGTTTTGGACATAGAGCTCCTTCAAGTTTGACAACGTGCCAGCATCTAGGAGAAGGTTCTGCAAAGCATTGTAGCTCAAGTCGAGGACAGTTAGGGAGATCAATGCACTGTCATAAGTTACTGCAAATGCCTGAAGACAGTTTTTACTGAGATTAAGGGTGTGAAGGGACAACATTGATTCAAAGAACTCATCCGGAATGGATTTGACTTCATTATAACTTAAGTCCAAATATACAAGCTGGGATAAATAAAGAGAACTTTTGTTTCTACTTTGCTTCTGATCAAGAAGATGAAAAGAAGCATCTAGCCATTCGTTTTCCATATAGTCCATTTTATTATGAGGGGATTCAGCAGTGAGCTGGATTAAGTTCTTTGATAAATTCAGAATTACCAGCTTATTTACCTGGGGGAAGACTGGGAAGTGGAGCAGTTTGTTTTCACTCAGATCCAAACATCTTAAGCTATATTCATCATCTGACTTTGTGGTGTGGAAGGTCTCAATGCTATTCCTGCTAAGGTCAAGTATCTCCAGCTGCCTGAGGTTGAAATCAGAGATGCAAGTAATTGAATTCATGGAGAGATTGAGTTTGGAAAGGTTCACTAGAGTCTCAAAAGCACCTTCTTCTATTTCCATGATGATATTACTCTGAAGATCTATCTCCACAAGATTGGGAGATCCCTGAAACATCTTGTGTGATATCATTATAATACTGTTGTCTGCCAAGGAAAGATACCGCAGTGCTGGAGCTTGTTTAATGAAATACTCAGCCATCCCATTGTACAGACTGTTGTGGGACAAGTCCAGTATTTCCACCTTGGGTAAGAGTCCAATCCCCTCTGTCCCATTCTGAGCAAGCTCATATAAGTGATTGTTGGCTAAATTTATTTCCAGCAAACTCGTCATGTGTGCAAAGACTCCAGGCGTGATGAAGCTTATCTGGTTAGAGCTTAAATCCAAGCACTGGAGGGAAGTGTAAAATGATAACGGCATTTCAAGGATTCTTTGAATCAGATTGTCAGACAGATCTATTTTGTTTACATTCGGATGGAGCTCATGAGGGATTTGGTGGAGGTCTTTGTTGTGGCAAAATGCCTGAGAGTTTGCCTGCCAGAAAAAGAGAGAAAAGGGGTTGTCACATGACAAATGAAAAACATCTTTGCATGAAATATAAAGAAAATAACATTCAGCATCCAGGCAGACCCTTCTTCTGAAACACTGATCACACTGCTTTCTCTGAGCATTCAGACAGCAAGAACAATAATCGTAACACTTCTTTGCAGCTAACAACACTCATTTCATTTTAAAGAAATTTCTGACTTACAAGAGTAGAGAGTTTTATCTGCTTGTGATACCTACTAAATGTTTTCCTTTTTGTACCTTTCTTGCGGGCTCATTTTAATAGTCCCAAGTGAAGGAGTTCTGCCCTCTTTCCATTGCAATCAAGCACCGTTTCCTCACTTTTGTTCTGATGTTTTTTTCAGCTTCATCATTGTACTAGATTTTGCAAGCTCTACTTGCAATAGTAAGTAGTACTTAGAAGAGCTTCACCCTTTTGGCAGCATAGGTCCCACAGCAAGGAGGTGGAGAAACGTATAAGGATCCTATAGCACAAAACCCATCTCTCTCCTTCTTAGTCACACCCTCAGATATTTGATTATGTCTTCTTTTAGCCATGGCATAATTAAGCACACAAGACACCCGTGATACAGTATGGAAAAGACAAATTATGTAAAGCCAGCTTTGAGAGGAAAAAAGCTGTGATGTGCAGTCAGGGTCACGCCTTTTCAGTCCAATTCTCAGCAACAGGGTAGAGAAAAAACCCAAGCGTCAAAGTCAAATTCATCTTCTAGATGCATGTCTGTTTAATTGCAGCTAGGACTGAATCTGTGTCCAGAGCAAAATCTGGAGTGTGTGTTCATAAGGAACATTGGAAACATGAACACGATCATCCTTACATAAATGTCAAGCTGTATTTTGTTACTAAGGAGAACATACAGCAGCGGGAGGAAGTGGAATGCGAAAGGCTTAGGCGGCATTTAATTTACTGGAGGAAAACTCTTGTTATGAATGTATTTGGGTGACTGGGTCATGTACTGTTTGTGAAAAGATCAGAAAGAAAAGAAAGAAAAAAAATCTGTTGAATCTTAACTTCTGTGGAGAAGCAGAATCCAGATTCCATGACGCAAAGCTTTTCAGACATTAAAGAAATATTAAAAGTAAAAAAAATATTAAAAACCATCTGTTCCATGTGAACTTTTAGGTGAATGAAGTGGCAGGTCTGTTGAGGAGAAGTGGGGCAATAGTCAGTGTTTTGTGAATCTCTTTTGCATCATATGAGTTTTGGAGACTGCACAAAAATGTGCCAGAGAAGTGTAAGTGCTCATCCAAACTCTAGATATACACAAGCTGCTCCGCAGTCCTTCCCATGATACAACTTTCCCAAAGATCCCAAGTAAATGGCCTATTAAAACCTGAACCCCTTCCTTTTTTCCCTCCAACTCACTCAAATCTCCCCCAGCTAAACAAATCAGAAAAAAAGAGAAGGGAATTTTCTGGCTTCTCCCTGACATTATTTCTTTCCTGCAAAGCCACTGTAGAATTGCTCATTTTGAGCTAAAATGTGCATAGAGTTGGGCTTAGCTCCGAGGCCCAAATAACAGAGCAGGAACTCTCTTCTTGCTTGGTTTGTGGAAGAGGGGAGAAGCCAGAAGGATACAAATATCCAGAGTGAAAAAGCAGCAGCCCCTTTGCAGTCTAAGGCAGATGCCAGGTTTCTTCCCACACTTTGAGCCAGTTCTCAACAAGTGTTGAGCACCCTCCACTCCCTCTGGGCACCCAGCACTTAACAAAGTCCTGATCCAGCTCCCGTCGATGCCAGCCGGCTGGTTTTCACTGAAGTCGATGGGGGAGAGGTCAGTCCCAGTTCACCACGTATCTTGCAGGATTGGGCCTTTAATCTGTATCCACTGAACCCTCCCAGTGATAAAAGGGACTGATAAAATCTATACCTCCCACCGTCTGCCATTTGTTCCTATAACATTTCCCCTCCCATTTTTTTTTTTAAACTTTCATTCCTTTTCACTGACTATTTTGATCCTCGCTGAATTTCTTATCTAGTCTGTTCTGCACCATCTTTTCTCCCCTGAGGCTCAAACTTCATGAATTTCGTTCTCATCAGCACTAGGAAGAAAAGATGAAGCACGTCTCAGTGGGACAGAGCAAACAGCATCTGTTTTGCGTGTATCTCCCTTCCTCCCACCCCGTAGCCCAATGGGTTGACAGCCTGAGGCTGGAAAAGAGGTTTTTGCTAGTCTCATGTTCTGACTTTATCCTCTCTGCCAGTGCTGCCACCGGTTTGTTTGAAGTCCATTGGCAAGAAATACTGCAGGGTGGGGAGCACTTGGTCTCTTCAGTGTCTGGTTCCACCCAGGTGCTGGTGAAAAACTGAACCGACAGCTCAAAAGGTGAGCATCGTTTGGATTCTGACTCCAGTTCTTCACTGCTCGGCACCGGGTGGAAGTTGTCACCCACCTTAGTAAAAGCCCTACAAACGAAGCAGCTGGATCCAAGCCTCCACTCGTGTTCTCCTGTGTAAACCCATGAGCATTTGAACCAAAGGATTTGGGCTGGAGCCACTTGGTGCTGACTTGTGCTTGCACAGTGTCCGTGCCTATTCTCTAGAAGAGCTGCCCAGGTGGAGGCTCAGCTACACAACCAAATCTTAGCAATTTGCCCAGGTACCACATATCAGCTGACCTATGATAACCGGTTATGCGTGTGTTCTTGCATGACCTCACTGCAAGGTAATGTATAATTTGCTAAAAACCCTTCCCTTCTATGAATTGTTTGGGAGCTCCTCCTTTCCCAGTTAACAAGAATTAGCAGAAACATCTTTCTTTGGGAGGTAAAACATGAAGTAGTGGAAGCCCCTCTCCTTGCGTGGCAGTATGAGTTAGGAAGAACGTCCTGACATTTAAGCCATACCTTGCTGTCTCGCAAACGGGCAGATGTGCAGTAACTTGTATAATCAGTGCAGCTCACTCCCATCTCAGGGGTCTCGTAGGGACTGTTTACTTCCTAAAACCTCTTCTACAAGGCTTTGGTTCAATGACAGGAGCACCAGTGGTGAGTCAGAGAGGGGCACAGGTTTCTGACTCATGCCTCTTCCACGAGATCTGGGATGAAAGTTTCCATTTCTGAGCCTTTGCTATTCTAAAGGTGTCGCCACAGGGAGAGTAACGTGTAAAACAGTGAGGCTGTGACGGAAAATCGTCATGTGAAGTAAGCGGGACTCCCAGTGGACCCATCAGCTGATCCAGTAGCTCCCTCTTTCTTCAAGCTGCGTGGAAATGTGTTTGGATTTACACCCTCCTCCTTCCATTGGACCAAACGCCCAGCGAAGGAAGACGAGCAAAGCTCCATCGACACGAGCGATGCTGAGCTGTTAATTTATACCAGATGAGCATCCCAGCCCCTGACTGCAGCGTGTTTTCTGTCGGGGCCGAATTTATCCCAGCCTCATTGGGTTGCTGGCTTGATGAAAGCAGTTTACAGTGGAGTGGTGGAAACAAGCATGTGTTTACTTCTCAGCAACCAGCCTGACCTGTGACCCATCCAGAAATGGGACGGGGCGAATCTGCTTGGATTGTTGGGTGTCTCGCCCAGCCTTCACGTGATACATGGGACCCAAGACCTCATCAGTCTTCCCTCTCCAGCCAATGAATTGAGCTACCCAGTCACCTTCCCAAGATCTTTTTATATATATTAGGTCTTAATTTCTCTGGAATTCAGGAAGTGCAGCAATACGGCAGGGTGGGCAGGAATGGAATGAGTCCCATAAGGGAGATGTGTACAGCTAGCAAATTACTTTTTTCCCTATTTTGGAAATTCTTGAGGATTTGTGCTGAACAGCTTCAACGTTCAAAAAAAGAAAAAAAAAGATAAGTATTTTTAAGTGGCCTGTTACAGTCAGAAGCACTTGGATAGGGAAGGGAGCAAGTTCAGCTATGAATAACATTTATAATATTGTACCAGGTGCTTGCAAAAATTCAAGGAGAAAATTTTGTACTGGAGCGAGAGGCTTTGTCACTTCTTTTACCTCCAGCAGAAGTCAAGTACAACTCCCCTGGCAGCAATGCTGTGTCAGGGCAGAGGAGATCAGTCTCCCTGTTATTACAAAAGGGCTGGTATAGATGTATTTCACAGAAGATGCTTTATTTAAAACACAAAGAACTCAGGCCTGATATAAAGGAGTCGATTTGAGGTCCAAGTTCTTTCACTCTCAGTCACAGAACCCCTGTACAGTCTTGGGGAAATCAGGTCGAATTTCTTTTAACCAGTTCCCCCTTAGAAAAAAAATGAGATAATGACCCTAGCGTCCCAGAAAGAAAAAAAATGAAAAAACGCCCCCCCCCCCCCCCCCCCCTTTTCTGTGCTGTCACTACAACAAGGACATAGCCTGAGAACAGCTTGCTGAGCATCCATCAACATAGCAAAGCCCACCTCTGCCATCGCGGAGAGCCTGGTCCTGGGGGGGTTTCCCTTCTCAGAGACCATAGCTATTTGTGCAGTGCCTGTAACAAGGGGGTCCCAACATCATCCAGGATCTCAAGGGGCCTGAGTAGGGAGACAGCCTTACCATTTCACAGGGCATCCCCTCTGTGGGCTGATAGTTAGAGGTCCCTCTGTTCACCACTGCCAGGAAGAAGATGACGTACAGTTTCATGGTTCTGCAGGTAAAAGTAGTTATGGTTAGATTTCAAATGTGACACAGTGGTCAATGCATGCGAAAGCTGGCACCAGATCATCATCTAACATGGAGAAACACACATGCGGTGCAATAAATTAACCCATCTCTGAGCCTACCTCACTTACGACCTGCCTATGTACCTTTGCATCCCTTTGAGCCTAGCGGGAAAAAAGAGAGATTTATACGAGGACTTGAAAGGAAGGTCTAAGGCATTTCATGGGATCGCCCCAGTGTGATTTCAGCTGCTACCTAGACGATACCCAGGCCACCCAATGAAGTCCAGATGCTCAAGCTGGGCAGAGTGTCTGGCATCATGGAGACAGACAACCACTGAAGACCGAGTTACCTTCACTTTTCCCATAAAGGCAGCTCAGGTACTTTCAACTGGGCTGGAGTTTTGGGGTCCCAAGTCCTGAGCAAAGCGAACGGGTGCCACTCAGAAACAACAAGCACTGGGAACAGTTTCCATTTCCATCCACAACATTTTCCACTCCTCTCATCCCAGAGTGTCAAAGAGCTTTTACACATTCATCCAGATTTGTTGAGTTAATATAAACAGCTTAAAGAATGGACTGAGAACTTTTTGTCCGAATGTTAGTTTTCCATTTTATACATCCCAGGTATGGGCAGGCTTTTAAATACATTTGAAAGCAGATGCCTTATAAAGAGACAGATATAAAATGGAATGGATTTGTGTGAAATGAAGGATTCATCAGAGTTTAACTGTTTGGAAAGCACTCCAGAAAAAAGCATAGAAATAACTGCAAAAGGAGCAAACAGCAATGGGAGGCCTGTCACTGGGCAATGGGAGAAAAATGCAAACGAAGCCAAGGAAAAGCATTCGTCATTCAAACAGCTTCTTTCTAGGTGGACACTAATGAGGTCTCTGGCTGTGGTCACCACTGATGTGAGCTCTAGATATCACTTCTTTATGACAGCCTGTGTTGCAAACATGCCGAATCTGTCTGTATTTGTATGGCTTCTTGCAGGCAGATCTGAGCTGGTCCTGCCTCCAGAGCCGGTGAGACACATGCCAGCTCCCAACTGGAAGCCATGCAGCAGTGCTTAGCTAGCACTGCTCTTAAGTCTTTCCAGGAGCAAGCCTGCGTCTGGCAAGCTCCAGACGCGTGCCAATCCCATGCACATGTGCCGCCAAAAACCGGCATCAACGTAACGTTACTCAGCAGCTTCCACCCACAGAGCATCAGGAGGCTGGAAACAAAAGAGATGGGATCATTCCCAGCTGGTGGAGATCCCTCCGCTTAGTCACTGTTTGAGGGATGCAGCTGATGGCCACGCTTCCGCGCAGCAATACCAATTGCTGAACAGCAATGCCAACAGGTTCACTATGGGAACCTGCCCATCCCTCCACTTCCCAACCAGAGAAAAGAGTTGTGTACTAGAAAGAGAGAAACTGGGGAGGCTTAGGCCACAGCTACTCTATTTTCAGATTGCACATTCCTTCCTGTTGAGGGAAACAACTAGTGATGGATGATGATCTGGGACCCCAAGGTGAAAGAGCTTGGAGTTTGTCTTTGGGGCTCAGCAGCGGGATCAGAAGTCTGTTTCCCCCCTCTAAAACAAGACCAAGGACGTTTTCGACCCTTTTAATTATTGTTTGCAAAATACACTGAAATCACCCTATGGAAGGAAGAATTGCTGATACCACCATCTATAATGCCTCTGTCATACCCCCTCTGTTCCTCATTCTTCAGGCTTAGAGGAGTGGGTGCCTCCTCCTCTGAGGAGAAAGTGAGTTTTATCATTTGGGTATTAGTTTGCTGGAACTGAGAGAAAAGACAAACATACTGATGATTACAAGGCTTTACTCAGAGCCCTCAAATGGAAATCGTTTCTGTTTAAATCCAGTGAATTAAGCTGATGAAATCTCCATGGGTATTACCCGCAACAGGGCACCACCCTGATGGACAGCGTGCGTCCCGTATGCTCTGCGATGTCTTCTCTTGTCACACTGCCAGTTCAAAAAATGGTCCCTTTGCTTCTTGAATGCTAAACCTGACACAACCCGGGGTCTTAACATGCTTTGAAGCTTCCTAAATTTTAAGTTTATAAAGCAACTAGGAGGTTGATGTATTTGAACACAAAAACCTGATTTAATGGCTTGCTGTGTAAGACAGATCTGTAGTAAGCAAGGATGCTGTCCCTCAAAGTGTTTCTAAGGTGGCTGTCACACCCTGAAACACTAGGACGTGGTGGTCTCTTCCAATATGAGACCACATACATTCGGTCCAGAGGAGGGTAAACCACTCCTCATGGTACAGCACAACCTCCTTGCTCATGGAGATTCCCTTCCCAAGCTGATACTCAGTTCAGCTGAAGAGCTTTTCTCTGCCTAGCTTTTCTCTGGACAACTTTTAGGCCCATCTAACGTGACACAGCACTGTGTCCCCCTCCTCTCTGCCCTCTGGGCAGGTCTCAGATGCCCACCACCCTCTCCCAGCATGGAGCTCAGGGCTCACAGGACCCCCATTGCCCTGGTGTCAGAGAGCATCACCGCTAAACCCTGCCTGCAGGCACTGGCACTGATGTCTCTAACCACAGCTTACAAAAACAACCCGGGAGCAGCAGTAGCAGCAACTCAGCCCAAAGGAGCTTTTTTAGTGCTCTGAGGCTTTCCCAGAGTTGAAGCAGCTTCGTGCTCATTGCCAGTTTGCTCCCACTGGCAGCTGTGATAAAAATCCCAGCATACCTCAGAGCAGGATTGAGCTCTGAACGGCATTCAGTGTCACAGCTTTCCATTAAGGTACTTCAAAATTATCCAGCCCCATCCACAGCTGAAAAATATAGGTGATTTCAGGGAGTAACACCTCCAAGGAATCTTATTAAGTGGGGCAAATAATTTAGCATCTAGAAAAAACATGGTACCCAAACCACATCAGCACGTGCACTTAACAGATGGGAGGGCAAAGGCTGAGAAGAGCAGTGATTTGCCCCAAGACACATTTGAAACCATGGAAGAACCAGGGTTTAATCCCAGTTTGCCCAGTTCCCACGCCAGAACAATATTTGACTCCATCTCTATTACATTATTAACCTTGAAACCACTTCATAGATGTTGCTTGTAGCTAACAACAGCAGCACCTTCCAAATTTCCTCCAAAGGTAATTTTTGTTACTGCTTAGACAATTAACAGAGACGTTCTCCTGTGCCAAAAGAGGTTAAATACAAGAGAATACACAAAACAAACCAAACTCCCCAGGGTCTGATCTTTTTACACACAAGACTCTTCGCTGCCATGTTAGAGCCTTCAGGGTTAAAAAGAGTGAATATTCCACATTTACCTTGTTTCAAGGGCTTCTTGGATCCCCAAACACAGCTTATCATGTCTTTAAAAAGCATATCCAGCTCTTCAAAACCAGCTCAGTCCTGGTACTGATGAACTTCTTCTTCAGCTTCACGTTCACCCATTCGGGACACCAAGAGGCTCACTCGTAACTTCATAACAAAGGCAATTTTCAGGGAAATAACCTTATTTGGGACAGTGTCTGCTTTAAATTATGTTGCTTGTCTTCCTCCGGACTCCTCTCCGGGCTCTTGCTGGGTCCTAGCCACCACTGCGCTCCGGACAGAGTCAGCTATTGTGCGACATCCTGAAGCCCTTGCTCGGGGCAGGCGTTGGGAAACAAGGAGGATTTTTGCCAGAGAAACTGTCAGGATCGGGCCACGGGTTTGCTCAGGGGAATAAGTGACTTATTGTTTAGCTGCATGCGTGGTGCAAGGCGGCGTGTTTACTTTAGGGTTTTGTGTCCGCGAGTTACATTCCTGGAGGGTTGCAGCCTCCTACCCCTGCACCTAAATCACTCTCTGCATCATTAGGAAAACAGCGCTTGAAGATTAAAGGTTTCAAATTCACGGCTGATAAATATAAAAAGCCCAGAATCTGGAAACCTGTCCTGGAAGACATAACTCTTTCTCTTTGCAGTGGTCCCAATGATCAGAGTGCGATAGCAGTCTGCTGGCAGGACTGGGGTCTGCTGTCAGCTACAACGTACCTGACTTCAAGGGTTTTCATGGCACGAGGCAGGAATTAGGGACCTTGATAAAGGCAGAGGGGTCCGGACATCCGGATGAGCTGCTGAATTTCTGGCAGCGAGTACATAGTGCTGAATCTACCGGACCTGCTAGGAAAAATTCCCATTGCAAAAGGGGTGCTTTTGTCATGCAGAAGATTATTTCAGATTGCCTGCGAGTTCAGCTTTTTATTTATTATTTTGTGCTGCCCTCTAGGGCTGGAGCAGCTGTCTAATTGCCGGTTTCCTCACTTCGCTTTGCTAATTAAGACCTGCTTCTGGAAAACCCTCTTTTACGTAGATTTTCCCGTTGCTGTCTCCCAACCTCACAAGCCTGAACTGCTGCAATGCACTTTTCCCATGGTTGAAATAATAAGCCAAAGAGCTGGGCTCTTATCATCTCGTTTGCTTTGCAATGCACCCTGAAATGAGAGGCATAAATGCTATGAGGAGGTGGCAGGATGCGTGCGGGCAGGAGAGGGCATGATTAGGTGCAATGGATAGAAAAATACAGGTTTAGCACTCATGAGAACTGTCTGCTAGCGAGATTATCACAACCCTGGACAGGTTCCCCTTGACTGGGCTCTCAACAGACTGGTTTTGATCACCTTCCCCCAAGCACGTAGTGTCTTGAGCTTCCCTTGGTTGGAGCTGGCTGCAGCGCTGTTTTTCACTTGATCCCTTTGGCATGCTCGCTAAAGTCAAGCCCTCCCTCTGCAATCCCCTTGGGGTAAGCAGGAAACTCTTCTTGAAGCTGGGGACTGCTGTGGTGTCCAGAGGTTTAAATGCCTTTTGGATGCTCTGGGTTCAAGTTCTCCTCAGCAGCAGCACGCAATAGCACTTGCAACGCACAGACACTTTCGCAAGGAAAACCTCAAATATAGGAGTTCTTCAAGAAAAGAAAAATACTTTTTTTTTTTTTAATAGTATATTTTGATTTGATTTGGAGATGGAATACAAATATCATGCCTGTAATGAAGAGTAGCAGGTGCCCTGGCTGACTGCAGCTTCACATTTTCCTACACCTGGATGTTCAGAGCACTTTGGGAAGTTTGGATTTGCAGGGGTAAAAATAGCAGGGGTTTTGTTGGTGGTGCTTTTTAAAAAGCCAGCTTTGTTCCTCAAGCTGTTTTACCGAGTGGCCAGGCAGCTGTGCCAGCTGAACTGTGAAGAAGAGCCTGGACAGAAACAAATGCCAAAGCAGGAGGGAAGGGCATGCACTGATTCTGCTGCTCAAGACTTTGCTTCATTAAAACCACAGCCTTAGAGGCACACCAACCGCGCTGGGAAAGATCAGCGGTGTCCTTACCATCTTTCCCCTTTCCTAAAGGGTATCTGACAACAAATAGTTTCAAAGACCCTTACGCATTTGGCTGACGGCCCATTTTCAAAATTTTCATGCTTTAGGCTACCCAGCAGTTTACACCTTAAAGTGGTGTTGAAATATTAGCATGGTGTCTGCTTGGTAGCCACATCTGCAGAGCAAGGGTCGCCTCCATCGGACAGATTGGGTCATCTCCATCGGGCAAACTGGAGAATTAAGCTCTTTTGCCCACCTGCACAAAATAGCAAGGGCTGTCCCGTCCCAGTGATGCCAAAGGGTTTGTACCTGTGACTCTGTGAAATCAGGCCCTTCCTGATTTTCCTGTGGTCTCCTCAGCAGTCACTGCCTGCTCAGTTTCTGCCGACATCAGCTGGATTTCACCCCACGTCACACAAAGCTGGGGGTGGCATGGGGATTTGTGCTGGTGGGCACCTCGACAGACCTCTCCTCTCCTCCAAAGCCCCTTCCCAGCATGGCCCAGGGCAAGAAGGAAAAGCAAATCCCAGCCACTGGCTCTCACGAGCCAGTCTGTAATCTGCTGCAGGTTCCCAAGGGTTTCAGATAAACAAGAACATGTCTTGATGATTATGTGTCTTGAACCTCCAGACCTTTTGGAGTCTGTCCATCCATAACGCTGCTGCTTTCTAAGGCACTGCTTTTGGGTTGAGTCCTGTGTTGAGCCGCATGAATCAAACTCTCCAGAGAAGTAAACAAAACAAGCTCCCGCCTTAGAAAGTGGGTCTGAACTGCAAGGGCAGGAGCGGGACAAGTTTTGCTCCCTTTCGACTGGAATAGCTCCCTGGTGATTCATCCCACCAGGGAGCTGGAGACAACATTAATATTAACTCTATTAAAAAAATAAATAGCCCATGCCATCCTCAGCCGCAGCCTTTGAGAAGGAGGCACAGCTCCAGCTCCTGAGACCCTACAACATCTCCAGGAGCTGCTTCTCCTGGTTTGGTTTGCCCATGCCATCTGCACTGTGCTTGGTCTCTCATGGGCAGATGCAGCCTCCTGCCTCTCTGGTGTCAAGTCCACACATCAGAACAGGGACTCCTACACCTCCTGTAATCCCAACGCGGCTTTTCTCCTGTCTTTAGAAGCTGCTGCCTTCCTTCCTCCTCCCTCTCTCTGTCCTCTTTCCCCACGCACCTCTATCCGAAACCAGGACAGGTGTGCAGCCAACAGCACTTCCCCGCCAAAAATGAACCTTTCTAATTAACGGGACATACAGGGTTTAGCCAGTTCCCCTACTTTATTCACCTTTTCTTTCTAGTCCTTTCTCCAGGAGAGAAAATGAACATGAATGAGAATTGAATGAAACAGCCTGGAGACTTTGTGAGAGAGGGGCTGGGTGAAGGGCCAGCAGCAGGTGGAAAAATGAAAACACTTCCATCAACAAAAACTGATATAAACTGGCATTTGAAGATTAAACTATTTGAACATGAAATACTGTCCCTGGAGAACAAAATTCCTGGAGAAACTCAAATTCAGGAAAGAAACCAGAACCTTTCCTAATCAGCTTTAATGTAAATGCAGCAAAGAAAGAGAGAAATCCGGTTTTAATTCAGCAATTACTCTTTTACTGATGGTTGAGTCAGTGTTCAAGAAAAGGTGTACTCAATTCATGAAATGAAAAGAGGAAAATTATTTCTGATAGATTTGACTTGCATGATACTGATACCCCGCCTTGCATCCATCCATCATTGTATTAGTAAAAGGCCAAGCACTGATACAGTCACTAAGCTGCAACCATCTGCTTTAGAAAGAGATGACTGCTTGTGAATTTTTGTTACTGAAAACCAAAGGATTTCAGCATTTTAGAAAAATAAGATGATTTTAAAGTTGAAATTATTACATCTTAGGAAAAAAACAAATTTCCACTGTTGTGGTAAACCAAACTTTGGCTTCTATTTAAGGGAAACATGTTTGTACTTTTATCAAAAATACAGCAGGGTTTGGCTTTAGAAAATTACGTGTGACTTTATATAAAATAGGATTTTCTAAAACTTTACTATTTCCAAATATTGTCTGTACATTAATTCCTCGTCATAACAGTCCAGATGCAGCAAAACACTGTCAGTAAGTCATTGTTCACCCAAGGTGACATTCATTCAAGCTGTCAGGATCTTAAGAGTAGGAAAATAACCCTGCCATCTCACACCTCGTCCTCCAACAGGGAGAGTTCAATGACAGTGCTGATAGTAAGAAGGGCAGACGAGCTAAACAGCATTTTGCCCGTTTTACCCGGGGACTGTGTGATTTGCCCAAGGCTATGTTAGGACTCAGTGTCGGAGAGCTGGGCGAGCAGCATTTAATCAGCGCACAATGCTGATCTCTGCAGCACTCCTGGTTCAGAGCGCTACAATGCAGTAACACCATAAATAGACTAAAGTCCTGTGAAGAAAGAAAAAAAAAACGTCTCCCCATCTTCCATTGCTGTAAACACGGAGAATAATAACAAAGCAGGCATATGACAACTGTATTGTTATAAACTAACCGGTGCCTCCTTAACGTAAAGGATCTAACTCGCTGCAGTGCAAGTCCCTGATGGATTAAATATACAGCTGTGGGGATAGAGCCATCTACACAGCGTGTTTAGTCAGTTCCTCAGCCTGTTCATAAACGCAGTATATTTTATTTGTACAGTACCTTCCTCATCTGTTTTATTTTTAAAGGCTGCAGCTCTAAGTCACCAGAGCCCCCGTCCCTCCCGCAGTCAAAAGCTCAACTTTCCGGCAGGCTCCCGGTTTCGCACGCGTCTTCACGTACCTGCTCTGTGGCTGGAGGAGGAGGAGGAGGAGGTTTCGCCTCTGCTTGCAGCCTTCTGCCTCCCGGACTCTCCCAGCAGCCTTTCCAGCGAAAGCCGAGGAAGAGTTTCCTTGGGGAAGTCGTACCTCTGTTGCATGCCAGCTGACTAAAACTCTGCGAGCTCCGAGAGAAGTTTGAAGTCACAGGGAAAAAAAATACTCCCCATAGACTGGTCCTTGAATTCATTCCTTCGCAGTCATGAGCTCTTATATATTCCCAGGCTCCCATGAGCACGTGAATACATACCTCCGTAATAGTTTTAAAATGTGTGTGTCCTCTGCGCTTCTCTTTATTTTCCATTTCGTTCATTCAACCTTGGCTTATTTCCTGCAGTTTCTCAGCTGGTAATTACGCTCCTCTCGTATTGACACATGAAACAGTCTGTGAATACCACAAAAAATCCCCTCCACAGGCTTCGGGGACACGTGCTTGTCTCTGAAGTTCGCCGTGCCTGTCCCACAGATGTGAGCTTGTGCTTTCAGCCACATGGACCTGCAGGTTCTTGGGGGCAGCGCTCGCTGGGGTTGGGGTAAATCACAGGGACTTGAGCTGGCTGCAAACCCTGACCTCCAAGTCCATGCAGGACGGGGTGTGTAGGAAAAGGGTATATTGGAGGGAAGCATTGCAGTAGGGCAAAGACATCGCGTTTGGTGTCCCAACAGCTCAGGTGTGTCTCTGTGGCACAGCAGTGGGATGGCCGAACGCACCCTTGGGGGAAAGGATAAATTCAATTTAATGCTTGAATGGGTGATAAAGTAAATGCCTGCTAAAAAGGGCAATGGGATGCATTTTTATCTCTTTTCCTTGGGTGTGAAACTCCCTCTTATTTCAGAAGCAATGCTCCCGTGGACATCGTGGGAGACCTACACATTGCCCGTGTTGTCTTCTTCTGCTTAGAAGTGTCCTGATACCTGGGTAGGCATCCACTGGCTCCACATGTTAGTTTGCAGGAGTACAAACCTCTGATAGGGTTTTGCCAGCTCCCGAGTGGGTGTCTTAGGACCAAACCGAGTCTTGGCTTCAGCAGCCAGGACCCGACCTTCCCTGGGCCACCCCACTGGGGAGCTCCCACAGGCACCGGGGACCACTGCAAACCTCCCATCTTCTCCCTTAGGTGCATGAGGAGTACCTCCACCGAGTGACCTCCCCTTCGGAGGAGAGCTTTGGCTTCAGCATTGTGTGTTTTCCCCCCTTTGCACCGAGATGTGCAATGATAGCCAATGATTTTCACCAAAAAAATGGGGTGCTGACTCCCTTCTCCTGGACAGCATCAATTCTGTCCCGCTTTCCTAGATCTGCTTATTAAAATCAGATAAGAGCCGTGTCCTTTTATACCATGTGCCAAGCAGCTTTGTGGATTCTGCTAAACATATGTCAGCTCCCAACCTTTGCTTCTTTTCAACAGGTTACTGTTAATTTTCTGTAGCACACCAGCTCCTGTGAGTCAGTTACTTCAGATCTGCAGCATACTGGGAGACTCAAGATGAAAACGTCTACAGATGTGAAAGATGTGGTTCGTTAAATATCACAGTAAATATATTTTGCACGTGTTGTTGCAATAAGTATGTAACAAGGATAATAAATTTAGTAGTAACATGTACATAACGATAAAGAAGTAAACAATAATGATTTTATTTCTGCAAAAACTAGTGCCTGTGTACATGTATAGCTGTATCTGTATATTTATTAAAGGCCAAATGGCTTAACAATTAATAAGTAAATGATCTCTCATTGACTTGTCTTGGCAACAGAAGCAGATCCTACGGAGAAGCTTGCTTGTGTACAGCAGTCGCAAAACCTTATTGATGTCCTCAGAATAGCTCTTCCATGGGACGTAGGTGGTCCCAAGAATACAGTACCAAGGAATGAGCTTGTGGTCTGAAAGCTGTACGGGGCCCTGACCACCCTGTGCAATGCCTGAACTAGCTGTCCACTATCACTTCATCTTGTGGCACCATGCCTAGTGAATACGGCTGCACTGTTTGGGTTGGCATCAGCTTGACGTTGATGTGTTGATGTATACTTCCTACCCAAGATGAAACTCGCCTCTTAGTCCATGCTAGCCAGGACTGAGAGTTCACCGAGGCACAGGGACGTATTCTATCCCCTCCTGTCACCACGCCAGGCCAACCTGATGGCCAACTTGATGTCACGGCAGCCAAGCCTGGAGGATAGCTGTGGACCTGCTGCTTAGAGACAGGGATCCAATTGTATTTTCCAGGTGGTGCATGGCTAGCTAATAAGAAAATGAACTATTACAGAAAGTATAATAAGTCTCCTGACAATAAATTTCAGACTCATATGGAGGCAGAAGAAATTATTCCCACAGATCCTGCTGTTGTTAGACCTCCATCTCTGGTGTGTGGGCTGCAGAAGACTTGGGTCAAGCTATGGCTGATTCCCAGTGACACCTGAGTGCTGATGCTTTTCCAGTTACATCTCTCCCACTAAAGATGTCTCTCCCAGGGCGTGATCTGTGGCCTGATCTGCACAGACCTGGCCCTTCTCAAGAGCAAGTTGGCTATGTCCAGGTATGTAGCACTCAGACATCTAGCTCTGGATAGTGTCCCCACAGCCCTGAGGTCATTGTTTCACTGTTGCATTTCTTTCAGAGTGCCTGGTATAATGTGGGGACAGTGTGCAAAGCCCTCTGGAATAGTGTAGGAGGACTGTGCGGAGCAGAAGCAGCCAAACCTGATGCAGGCCCTGAAGGAAACCCCAGAACTACACCCATCTCAGAGGGAACAAGCTGGTTTGGTGGGGAAGGGTGCCCATGAGAGAGCTAACCCTCAGTGTGGTTGGCTGTGGGGAGCCAGGTTATCTGACAGCGTCGATGCACCCATGCATACCCCATGAAAGAACCTGAGGACACAAGGAGGGACACCACACCCTGAAGACTTGTAGCATCATGCCTCCAAAAACTGCTTACAAGCACCAATCCTGCAATGATTTATGCTGGTACCCGCCATGCACAAATCCTGCAACGCCTCCACACTGGGGCAGCAGGATGTGGCAACTGGCAAATCCCACTTCAAAAAAAGGGCCACAGGTCAGTGCTGGTCACACAAAGTCAACCCTGGGCTGTGTCCTGCCATAGGCTCAACCCCTCCAAGTCTCATGGGATTCTCACTCTTCCATGGGAGAGCTGAGCAACCTTGGTTGGTGGGGCTGGCACGGACATAAGCAGAAGTGCATGAACAGAAAGCAAAACTCCCAGCTACCGAGATGCTCCAAGACATCATTGCCAGTATAAGCATCATTATCTTGTGCTGACGTTAGCCCAGTTGCTTTTTAGAAATTGCACTTAAAAAAAAAAAAAAAAAAGAAAGGAAAAGAAACCAGCCAGGAAGAGATGAACTGGCAGTTTTTAATCACTTGCAAAAGATTAGACGTTGACCACGTGCTCACCTCATGCTTAAAATAGGTTGTATCATGTCAACAGGATGCCCATCTCTAATTATAAATGATATTTCCCCAGACTAAACAAAGTTTGACATTTATGCTCCATTTCCTCCAGCTCTGATTATAGCCTGTTCTTTTAAAAAAATACATGAGGAACAAGAGGGCCAAGAGCTTTGCTCTGGCCACTCTTTTTTCTGTTTCTGTTGCTGTTCAGGGAAGTTTGCCACTGGGAGTGTGATACTTTACATGCTGGGATTTTGGCTTGCCTTGGCGCTGATGCTGATGGTGAGCAGGACAGGGGGGTTGTCCTGGTCAGCAGGTTAGCTGTGGCTCCTGTCCCATCTCAGCCTCATATGGTGCCTGCAGGTCTCAGGGACTGTGTCTTTAGTCGAACTCGAGGAAGATGCTGCTCTGGGCATCTCCCCGGACTAGGCCCGGCTTAGTCCCCTCTGGTACCAACCATAACCTTCCTCAGCTCCACCTGGCCTTGGGCCATGAAGACATTGCCATTGCAAGATGCAGACAGCTCCACTTACAACTGCAAAGGAGACATACTTTAGCTAGCTCCAAACCAGCTACCAATAACCCAAGTAGCTGTGAAATTCATCCAAAAAGCAGGGTAAAAAATGCATGTCCCGTTCTCCCGGGACACTGCATGCTCACCCAGCCAGATGTGACTAGCTATGAAGGGGGTCAGCTGTGTCCACATTGCGATGCAGTGATTTGCAGGATGGGCATAGTCTTGGCTCATCTTGTCACTCTTGGGTGGCTGCTCTCCCCAGGCACTGCTTGACGCCTAGGCAGGCAGTGCTAGAAAATTGAACAAGAAAGCAAAATGCACATAACGGTGCTCGAGACATTCGTGGAGTGCTTGAGGGACGTTGTACGTCACTTGGAGTGGCAGATATTGTTGAAACTCCCAGCGTGAGCAGGTACCACCGCAGGATATAGATAAGGTACTTTGGTGATAAGGGTCTTCCACAGAGTGAAAGACCACAGAAGATAACACAAATACAGTTGGGGAGGAAACGGTGGCCAGATGTGGGGGTTGGTGGGGCATGGGGCAGTGAGACAGTAAGAGAAAAAGGAGAGGGAAAAAATGTGGGCAAAAGGGCAAAACTCCAAGGCAAGAGAAAGAATATCACAGGAGCTGCAGAGAGCCCCATCATTTTTGGGGGGTTGAAATGGGAGAAATGGAATTTGTGTTTGGATTTTGGGGGACCAAAACTGTCTCCAGAGTCCTCTGGTTTTATTTTCCAAAGGCTGTGGGCCTCAAACTTACACCATTTCCCAGTGAGACTTTGAGGTACGGCTTGCAAGCAAAGTTGCCAGGTGAACATCTCGAGAAGACAGAAATAAGGGCAGAGACTTTCTGCCTTGCACTTGCCCTGCCAACTCTGATGGTCGGAGGCAGCCTGCATCCAACCCAGATTTTTCAAGTGTCTCTGGGTTTTGTCTGTCCCCCCTACCGTCTCCAGGGACGTCTTCTATCCTGTGCTTGAAACATCCCAAGCTTCATTAACAGGTTCAGGAAACTGTGCTCCGTGTGACAAATCTGGTTTATCTTGAAATGGCAAACCAGACGAGAC